ACTACAAGAAGGACATTGAGCTGTTGGAGTATGTTCAGAGAAGAGCAACAAAGGTGGTAAAGGGCCTGGAGAAAAAGTCTTACGAGGAGTGGCTAAGGGAGCTAGGGTTGTTTAGTCTGGAGAAGAGGAGGCTGAGGGGAGACCTGATCGCCCTCTACAACTACCTGAAAGGAGGTTGTAGTGAGGTGGGGGTTGGTCTCTTCTCCCCACTAACTAGCGATAGGACAAGAGGAAATGATCTCAAGTTGTGCTAGGGGAGGTTCAGGCTCGACATTAGAAAGAACTTCTTCACTGTAAGAGTCGTTAGGCATTGGAATGGGCTCCCCAGGGAGGTGGTAGAGTCACCATCCCTGGAGGTGTTCAAAAAACGTTTAGATGTGGCACTTCAAGACATGGTTTAGTGGGCATGGTGGCATCAGGTATACCATTGGACTTGATGATCTTTGAGGTCTCTTCCAACCATAATGATTCTATGATTCTATAACAAATTGTTATACCAAGCTATATTTTTCGATTTTGTAAATGCTTCTGTATTACTTATCAGTCATGTTATATCATCATAAGGTAACCTCACTTATTTTGCTTCTTTTAATAAGGACTTGGAAGTGTGCGTTGTGGAAGCGTTTAGACTTAATAGTTATACTTCTACTTAAAAGATAATAAACCACATAAATTTCCTAACCAGGGTTGGAAAATGACTCTCAAATAGTATGGTGTCTTATGGAAGCCTGTAACATTATAAATAGTAATGATAGACAGAAACAGTATTCTGTGTCATGTTTTGCTTAACAGAAAAATACAAATCTTTTTATCACAAGTGCCATAATACCTTTTGGGAGGAATTTTAGAGTGCAGGAGTATTTGTATTTTACTGTATTTCTTTTGCTATTTGAGCACATGACATTGCTAAAGGCTATCTAAATCTTCTGCCTGGAAGTAACTTCCTGTCTTATCCCTTCATCTGCCATTATTATGTTGGTTTTCAGTTTCAGATACTGGAATTTAATTTAAAAAGTAAATATGGGGCAGCAACTTTGTTTTATTGTAGATCTGATTTTTACCGTCATGCTTAGATAACTGTTTTGTTTCGGTTTTTTTTCTTCTGACTTCCTCACTGTTGTAAGGTCTAATTGAAAAAATGGAAATTTCCCACAGCAAAACATTTCTAGAAGTAATGTGTTATTTTACAGGAACAAAACTTTCTTTTTTGTTCCATCATGCCCTGATTTCCACTAGTTTTGGTGTTGTTTTTTTTTTTTTTTTCATATGGAAGGTCATGCAAGCAAATACAGGATTTGCATAATGGCGATATGCAAGATCTCTTCCTTATTTTTCTTTCTGTCTTGCACAGGCACAAGTTAAAACTACTTGGTTATTACACTGCAGTTTGTAATGACTTAATTTAGAGCTTTATATGACTATTACACAATTGTACTAAACACTTGAAGAATATGCTAGCTATTAGCTTATGCAACTGGAGTAAGAAGCATCGTGTGTGCAAATAATTGAAATACTTCTGAGAACCTTGGAAAGACTTCTCGTTACAAATTTGTTTCAAAATACTTTGGAGTATATAATAAATACTTAGTGAATAATAAAAAGTAAAATAAGAAGCTAAAAATTATGAATGATAAATTATTTAAATTATAGATTATGATTAATTGTACACACTAAGCTGTGCACATATATTTAAAAGCAAGACTATGGCCAGCCTTTTGTGTCAGTACTTTGTATAGGGAGACAATAATAAACTGTATTTCTATGATTGATTTAAGCTGATATTGCCATATTTATTTAATAAATGTGTGAAGCTTTGGAGGTTGAAAAGTGCTTTAAAAAATCCGTTGTTTGTTTAAATTTAAAACACATGAGAAATAAATTGGATTTTGTTTTTCAGCTCTCAGAAACAGAGTTTAGCGCTAACCAGCGATATAAGTGTTCTTGAAATGTCTCGAAAGGAACTTGAAAATCAGATGGGATCTTTGAGAGAAAAGCATCAACGGGATGCAGCTAGTCTAAAAAGTCAACTCAGTGAAGCTGAGAGTCAAGCAAAAGATGTTCAGAAAGAGGTAACACAAAACATTATTTCTATTTTGAGAGAATAGAATGCCCAATGACTTTGACCTTTAAGCTAAGAGAAAAGGAAAAACATAAGATTTCTAGTAATGAAAATTTTTCATACTGTTATTGCAAGTACTTTTATGGTAGCTAACAATATATACACTGGGGGTTAAATCTAAAAAGGAAGATTTCAGATAAAATGACTTGCATGTGTTTTGGGAACTTCCTAAAGTTTACTTTTGTGCATTACCTTAGTGAGTTTACTTTTAAGCTGTTCAGACAGGTAAACCCTTATTCAGCGTCTTCCTGATCACCATGGTATAGAGTTTCATTAGCTGTTACAAGTCAAAATTAATTCTTTTTAGTCTGTATGATCTTCCTAGTTAGATTTAAACTCTTCTATTTGACAGTGGGACTACACATTCTTTACAAAGGTCTCCTTTCATCTTACTGGGTCACTAGGCTGCTCAAGATGATTAGCAAGTGCATAAGGAAAGCTAGCATTTTGAGCATATATTTCATCTGCCTAGCCTCTAAAGATTAGGTCTGGAAGAAGGCCGTAGACTCCAATAATTATTTGCTTTCTCTTACAAGCATTTTGAGTGAAGTTTTCCCCAGTCACTGCTTTTAGTTTGTTTTGCAGTCCTTTGCTTTGCTTTGTCATTAATTCATCCATGTCACATTCCTTGCCATTTTCAGAATTCAAAAAACCCTGTCTTATTAGTCTGTGTTTTTGTAATCAGGAATATTTGTGAAGATAGCTAATCTTGTAAATTTGTGGTAAACACCAGTATTGAAAGTCTTTGGTTCTGTCCTTACTCTAATCCCGTCATGAGGACTACTAGAAAGCTTGTGATCTATAGAAAAAATTGAATGTGCGTTTGAAAAAGGAGAAGCCGCCCATACTGTAGGAACATGAGACACATTCACCCAGTATTGTTTGTACTTGACCCACACTGAGGATTATGGCATGATATTTAATGCCTTTCTTATTCTTATATTTGAGTTTGTGTGTGGTAAGAGGGTTTGATTTACTTCCTGAAGAATGTTGATTTTTGCACCTATTGGATTGGTGTAGGTATTTAAGCTACAGCCTAGATGTAAGACCACTATTTAAACATAGAGGACTCCTTGTTCCCCTGTTTCTTGTTTTGCCTTCATAGTTTTTACAGTCCTTTCCAATATGATAATGAGTAATTGTTTGGTATGAGAGATTAATTAAGGCCTTGCATTTACTTCATATGTCCTTGGTTTTAGTAATCCTAGCCCTTCAAAATCAGGGACGAAAATCTTCATTTAGAAAAAAGAAAATCTAAACTAAGCTTTTTCTGCGCTGCTTTTATGAAAAGAGAGTGTACTGATCCAAGACGAGTTGCTCTAGGCAGATGACAGGAAAGGAAGCTGTGCGCTAAGGAAATGTGAGCATGTGTCGGGTGTCCAGGGGTCCGCAGACTGTTTTCTCTTTTTCTTTAGTATGAAAGAACACAGACTGTGCTCTCAGAGCTGAAGGCGAAGTATGAGATGGCTGAACAAGAAAACCAGTCACTCACAGAAGAGCTCAAACAATGTAAAGAAAACTTGAAGCTGCTACAAGAAAAAGGAAACAACGTAAGTCTGGCAATTCTGTTGATTGAGAGAATATTGCAGTATCAAATAAAAAATGACAGACTTAAAAGCAAAAAAAAAAAAAGGGCTATGAGGCTGTGTACCATATTATATGCAAAGTTCCATTCTGGTACTACCTGTGCATATTTGCAAGTCATTACACTGTTACAATTACACATGCAAGTTAAATTTGCAGTTGGTGACAGTTTTAAATGTGGCCTTAGAGATCTGCTCTCTGGAAAACATCTAGCTTAAATACTAGTGAACCATAACTAAGTAGAACTTTTTTAATTTCAGAGGATGGTACATAGCTAAAAGCTGAGAAACCTGTATCCAAGTGAATTGAGCAATCTTTTTCAAGATGCTTTTGTTTTATTAGTATTTATAAGGGAACATCCGTGGTGACTCTTGCTCGTGCTTCTTAACAGTGGTTATCCCTGATTGGCTCATGCTTTAAACAGTAGAGTTGAACTGTCCTTTCTAGTCACTAATGAAAATATTATTTTCTTTTGCAATTAATTTGAGAGGTTGTATCATTAGAATTGAGTTTACAGCTAGGGACAGCTTACTTTTATACTGAGACTTCTGAAATCCTCCAAACATTAAGGGTGTGGCAAACACATTATAAGGTGGTCATAGCCTAATTTTAGATACTTACTACCCTGGGATGGCTGGTTTATTGTCTTTCTGTACTGCTTCTGTGATCAGTGCAGGGTGAACAACTCCTGTAGTGCATAGTACAAAACAGGAGGATAATGGATGGTCTGTAGTAGCCTTCTAGAAAACTGTTTCTCTGACTACAAAGGAAGTTTTACAGGTCTAAATGAGCTGGCTGCTAGATGCCCAAAGTTTGTACAAATACTCTTGCTATAGCCATTTACTGAATGTAAACTTCTAACATAGTAGAGCTGTCAAAGATGTAAGGAATTCAAAGCCCTTCTCACTTTTTTTCAGCCCTGTTTTCAGGAATATGATGCTATAATTCTCTTGGAACCTGCTTCCTGTTTAGAATTCTTCTGCAATGCTCAGATAATATTGAGTTACTAAAGTAGGCAGAAGTCAAACAAACAACCAAAAAACCTCCATTTTAATAGAAGAGATCACACTGAATAACTTGTGAATGTCAGATTTTCTGCTCTGTTAAAAACATTAATCTCAGGATTAAAATGATCAGTGGAAAAGAGGGGATAGTAGAGGGAAGAAGTACTGTGAAGGGAATTGGAACACCTGATGAAAGTGGAAAAGCTTGCAAGGTAAGGGAAATTTTAGGAAGAATTTGAGGTGAGTATTTAAATGAAATCAGGAACCACAGCGTTGCCAAAATATGCTTCCAGAGGGGAAGTTAGTTATGACAGTTGAAACCTGGAGGTCAGGGTATGATGAAGAGCATCCAACCATATAAAGACTTGCAGGACAAGCATTACTCACAATCAGTAATGTAAAACTTATCTATCTTGCGGATTATTTGAAGCATGATGGATACTGGGCTGAGCTCCAAGGTCAAATTTTTCAAGTACCATTGTCCCCTTATGCTGGAATCATTATCTGCTACTTCATTTCCGAGGACAGTGTCCCACAAAGTGACTTGCCACTGTGGGATTTGTTCGGTTTTGTGGCCCATCTGTATCTGAGTTTGCATGTCTTCATATTCTAATACAAGATGCACTTTTTTGAAGCACCTAGTTAAATGCTCCTCGACAATAAGGAGATTTGTTATATATTGATAAGTTTGTGAGGGGGAAAATTTAATTGTTTGGAGGCAATTTCATTTAATGTGGTGGATATTTATCATCTGTTTCATTTGCCAAGGTGCCACAGCCATGAATGTGTATAACTTTAAAAAAAATAAAAAAATCCATAGAATTCTTCGGTGAACTAACAAATGTTAGAAAAGACAAGGCTTCTATACTCCATTTGGGATATTATTTAAATATTAAGTTTTTATACTTAAGTTTTACTTTTTAAAAAATTGCAGTGTTGTGTTCTGAAATGCTTGGCAGCGTGGTGTACTACTTGTGCTTGCATGCTTGTAGTCACTGACTATTTCCTGATGGGCTTTATACGACAGATATATTTATGTGAATGGTTTGAGAACATTAGCTGCTCTGGTTGACTTAAACTTCTGGCACTTTTTTGAACACTGCTGTGATTATTTCTACCAACATGCTTTCTGTGGGAAGGTGGCGCTCTGATTTGTGGCACCAATGACACAAAAATAATCCTGCATGAAAATTACTTCAATAGTTACACATAATTTTTCTATTAAATATATGCCTTGATTAAAACAGATTTGAATTGAGTTGCAGAGACTGGAGTATCTTTTAAGATTCCTGTGTTTTGAACCATATTGGAGGTTCTATGATTAAGTGACTTCTACAAATTTGTAACAGGATGAGGTTTTATTTATGAATCACAATAGTTTAGAAAGTCTTCAAACATGATTTTATTATTTATTTATTTGACTGAACAAAATCAAGGTGACTTCAGCACAAAAAAGTTCTTAAAAGATTTAGCATGGTTTGAACTTAACCTCTGTGTGTCTTTGTGTGTGCACGAATATATAGGCTAGGATACAGAGAAAGCAGATGTCTTCCAAGGATAGCTTAAAGAGAATTTAAGTCCATTTTTGCTTTTAATTTATCATGCTAAGGATAGAGGCTGTCCATCCAGAATGTGAAGTTAAAGTAGTTTACAGTTAATTGAACGTAGCTCAGGAAATGTGTAGATGGTTCTAACGAGGCCATAAGCTAAAGGAACCCTGCAATCTTGCCAGCTGGTATTTTAGTCCAGCTGCGACATTTGATCGATTTTCAAAATTGCATTTGATCACAAGGCTGCTGACCTGCCAGAGATGCTGATCTTTGTGGTATCTCTAATAAAAATGTACTTCCCTGCTTTATAGTAACAATCTCATGGAAATATCTGAACTACTGGGTTTGCCTGTGGACATGGTTGTAATTGATTTACTAATGGAGGAAAAAAGGTGGTTTTTGCTGGAGGCTGATGATGGAAAATGGGAAAGGCTAACTAGCAAGGAATGAAGAAGTAGCTGAAAAATTCAGTATCTGGTGTGAGTCTTTCTACCTTAAGAAATCCAGATGGGATTTCCTACCACTTAGAAAAACTAAAACCAACTATAAATAAGATACAGGCAAATCAGTTTAAGATTTGTATCGGGTTTAAGTGCTAAATTCCAAGTTGTGACAAGAGGTTTCTTAGAACATTTTCTGCTCACTTCCCTTTATTTTTAAACATCCCTGTTCATTTGAGTAGAATGGTGTACTAACTTTGTATACCAGATTAGATAATACTGTATTGTGTTAGATGTCTTTAATACATTTCAATTAAAACAAAGCTCACTGACTTATTTTCCCCTCTCTAAATCATCTTTACCTGATTGATTTATAGCACAAAGTGATTTTTAATATCCCTTCCCTTCTTTAGCCTTCCATATTACAACCCGTCCCAGCCGTATTCATCGGCCTAATCCTGGCTTTCCTGTATTGGTGTTACGGCCCATTGTGGTAGCGAAAGGTACAAGCACTACTGTTCAGTCAATGTATGTTTGTCCCTCTCACCTGTTTGTGCCATTTCTGTATAAAATAGTGCATGGTGAAATGCTCACAGGTATTTCTTTACCTGAAGCAAACCCTTCATTTAATATGCCATTCTGTTGATACTGATGAGCTGAGCAATCAACTAATCATTTAACATCTGTGTGATTTCTTTAATTCTAACAATGAATTTCATTCTAACTGGTTCTGAATGTACCTCTTCTAACTTGGTCTCAGTTTGTCTTTAGCAAATGGGCTACCTTTTGCACAATGCTGTGATGCTAGGGCCTGTAAGAAAACTTAATTGCTTAATTATGAGAAATGAAGAGTTTGCCTCTAATAATAAAAATCAACAAGCTTTGGTTCCTATTTATGGACTAAGAAATTCCTCTCTGGCTCTAAACACTTTAATTTTTCTCACTGTTCCTATGAAGAAGATGGGAAAAAAGACAAGATGAGAAATAGGTGGTTGGTTTGTATTCTGAACTCTCAGCTTGCATTTTCTCTAATATCTCTCAGTCTGTCCTCCTCTTAAAATGCTATTGTTGTCATGAAATGTTGTGACAGTCCATTAGAAATTATGTTGTTAGGATCTGCCACAAACTAACTTCATAGATCTGATTTAAACATTCAAAAGCTAAGTTAAACATGTCAGTACTGCATAAACCTGTGTCTAGCGATTTCTTGGCACAAGTGATGTTTTAAACGTCTTAAGCCCTCACATGTTTAATAGCAGATTTCTTTGAGGTGCATACAGTAATGAAGCTGGAAATATGGAACTGCCAAAAGTTCTCCTGATGATCCTCAGTCCTGAAGAGTTGTGGAGTTCCCTTTGCTAGAGAAACGTGGTTTACTGTGATGCTCTAAGTCAGAACTAGCCTGCAGTAAGGCTCATGGGTAACATTTTAGTGATGCCTATCAACAGGTACTCAGGACTTTCAGGAACCACGGGTTAAACTGATTAGTATGAATTAGAACAAATATGATATTGATTTTTTTTTTCTCTCCACACAGAGACAATGGCCTTGGATGCCTGTGATGGCAGCTTTGGTTGCTGTAACAGCCGTGGTGCTGTACCCAGGCCTAACCAGAGCTTCTCCATGAGAACTGTTGTTGAATCCATACACCGTCCTCCCTTTAGAAGCTGGCAACATTCATATACTGAGGGAAAACAGATTAATTCTCTTCCTTTTTACCTCTTAATACAGCACAGCTCTGCGTGAGAACAGCAGTAGGGTCATTTGCTTTAAACTGTGTAAAATGTATCTGTCTATAAAGAGGGAATAAAATTGTGATTCATCATACTGTGAGCAATATTTTTGCTTACAATTTCATGCAAGTTTTAGTATGTTGGGATTCTGAATACTATAATGGTGGCCTAAAGTAGGCTTCTTGGTACCAAATTATTTATAATGGCTAGGGTTGTGGACACTTACTTTAGCATCTGATTGCCAGATTTAAAAGGAAAAACACATTTCCGATTTGAATGCCCAAGCCAAGTACCCTTGCAGGTACTTGGAAAACAGATGCAGTGTGCTCAGTGCCTTTCAGTACGTTTTTTGTTTTTGTTTTTTTAAAAAAAAAAAAAAGCATACCATTTTACTTGCTGTTAGTCACTGAGCTGTGGGGAACAAGACTTAAGAAAACTTCTCTTACCATGCCTTTTGAAGGAAACCTATTTTTTCTTTGATAAGGATTGCTTTATTAATGATTTTTGGGAATAAACACAATTCATGTCCAGCCTTAAAGAGAGAGAGAGATATTGATGGTGAAGACCAGCCTGAAGTATTTAGTGTGCGTGTGTGCGAGTGTAAGCATGTGTGTGTTCTTGAGTGAACTAAGGTATTTCTGGAGCAAGTACTTGGTCATTTGATGGACATAGTGCAGTGATTCAACTTAGGTTAACTTTAGTTTGAATGTAATTTATTAAATTTCATATATTTAAAGAGATACATTCTTTAAAAGTATGAATACTTTCTCACATATCACATGTATCAATTTATTTTTTCAGTGATTTGATACCTTCTGATTAGAGCTGGAGAAGCTCTTTAGATAATCTTTTGTTGATGTAACTTTATTGAGAGAACTGCTACAGTACGTCTGTGATTAGCTGAAAAAAAAATCTGAGATACATGAAATACTACAAAATTGGAATCATATACCTGATGAAGTATTGTCAGGTGAAGATGATTTTAATTTGGTAGTAAAATTTTGTGCATCCTCATCACATGGCTGTAAGTATGATGCAGTGGTCCCATTACAAAGTTTATTTTCCTTATCGAAGTACTATAACTATTGCTATTTGCTGACTTTTGGTGGGAATCACTGTAGTTAGTGCTGAATTAAACGTAGACTGTAGTTGTCTTGTTCAGCTCAACAGTTCTGTCAAAGAAGTTTATTAAAGATTTAAATAATATGCTAAAGAATGGTAAAGTAAAATGGCTCTGCTAAAGGAAACTTTAAAATAAGGAGGTAATCTCAGCAATTCAATTGGCTTTAAAGAATGTTATGGCAATTGACAGATAGTTTAAATATTTAAATAGAAATTTAGCATATAATTTACTTTGAGGTTTTAAGGATCATTGTCCTTTAATTAAAGGTTCTGTCTTAAGTTACATGGGATTTGCTAGTGGGAGGATTATTAGTTGGAAAAAATAGTCCACAAGTGACTTGTAGAAAATAAATATTGTCATTTAGTTCATTCATTTCATCCTTTTCAGTTGCAGGAAGCCACCCAACCACAGAACACTCGTATGCCAGTGGTACTTAGTACCTCTTGTATATAGGTTATTGCAAATATTGTTCTGAAATGCTTAACTTCAGAATTACATTTTTTAAAGTAAATAATTGTTTTAAATCTATTTTGTAAAGATATAAAAATACAATAGAATTTCTGGAGTACAGATTAAACTATTTGCACTAACACACGTGATGTGCATGATTTAATAAAATAACTTTACTCTCCCTATGCATGTTTGAGTTGAATGTCATTTGAAAACAAAAGATTCATGCTAAGTTTGTTTTGTGCTAGATATTGCCACAGTTACTAGGCACAATGTCTGCAGCATGTCCAGTAATAGCAGAAGACTTTTATTTACCTTGTATTTCACATTTGCACTGGTTTAAGTTTTTGTCTAGCTGATCTCTCTCCTATCTGTGGTTTTCAGAAAGAAAGGGGGGAGGAGAGAGCCATGGAAGGCTTGAGAGCATATTGCCATGGTGTCGGGGGGGAACGTGTTCACAGCTGAAGGGTGGATCATGCCTGTAGCAGGGGTTGTGAGATTGGAGGAGCAGATAGCAAGGCAATAGTGGAAAGCCCTTCTAGGGGAAGGGAGCGTGATGCATTCTCTCTCTTCTTCAGCATCTTGAACTCCCTATTTGTCCCTCTTTCAACTACTGTTTCTTTTCCAATGTATTCTGTTCCCTCCTCCCTGCCTGTAGCATGTAGACATGGTGTGAGGAGGTGGAGTGGAGCCTGGTGGAACAGTGGTTGCTCCAGGCGGGCAGCAGGGAAGGTGCTGCGTTCCCTGGGACCAACCTTGGGGTGGGCCTGCACTGCCTGTTGGTGCCCCATACTGAGCAATGCTGCCAATGATGTAAGTTTGTTCTTGTATTAAAGACAAGTGTTGTGTTTTCAAAAATCTTTTGAGCATCAGAGAGTTGAAATTTGCAATTTTTGGTTGTATTAAAGGAGAAAGATTTCTAATTTAATTATGTGCATGTGTGCATATTTATATTATATACACACGTGCATAGTACACATTGCATGGGGGTTTGTGCTTACAAGTGTACCTGTGGTTCCCTAATACAGTGCCTTTTCCAGGAGTTCTTGACAATTGCATGCTCAAAATGATCAGGAATGAGCCAAAATGCACAGTTCACTCTTTCGTTGTGAGAATCCCTGGGGGACGATTGGATGACTGGGAAGCTGCTGTTCTTCAGTGCTTTGATACTAAAGCAGCAAGTGGAGTTATTTCGCAAGCACTCTATGCACAAACCTTTCTGTTTTTTTGTTGCATTTGTTTATAGTAAATGTGTGTGCTCTTTTACATTCATATTTAGGTTCTTTCTTTTTAGTTGTGAGGCTTGATTAGCTAAGCCTTGGAGTTACTGTAACAAGACCACCTTTTCACAACTGTGTAAGGTGCTCTACTTATAAAACAAGTGCTCTGAGATTGCACTGAAGTTTGAGGTTTTTAAAAATGTTCCTTATACTAGAAAAAATAGTCTGAGAGTTGTTTTATCAGTTGCTAATTCAGTTTGGAAGATTTACTATACTAAAATATCTGAACACTTCTTCAGTTTTGTCCTGGTGTCTTGACTGAGGCACCTCTTCTAAATTCTAAAAGAATTCTACCTACATGGAGACTACAACAGCAGGCCTTCTATTTAAAACTATAAATATACAATATGTTAAAAATATAGTGTAATTTTCCTGTTCCTTGTAGCTGAATTAAACGCCTTCTTCCAGAGTCTTAGCCTGAACCTTCTTGTAGAATCGCTGGATTCCTTTGGTGTTAAATGGAGACTTGTGAGTCTGCACAGTATGTTGCAAAGTTTTCTCATAAAACAGTCTTGGTGAGGCTTAGTATCAAATAACTGATGGCTAAAGCAAAGGTAATCAATCGTGCGTGTATTTTTGGGATATATTCCTAAGTTATTTTTCTTTTTCTAATCAAGTCTTCTGAAATATGTTACCCGTTCAAATTTTCAGTGTGGTTTACATAATATTTTGAATGTCTCCTGCCTTAATCTGTAGGGTTCTGCCACTTGCAAGAATAATTTCTTCAGCTTGAATCTTCTTCATGACAAATCCACTGCTGAGATTCATTCCACCAGCAGCATCTGAGTGCTTTAAAACACCAGGTCACCACAACGGCTTTTGGGAAGCCACTGTAGTTTGCACTGGCTCTGCAGCTGGGGCTGGCCAGTTTCCACCAGGGGCCTTTTTTCCTCTCTAGCTTTTCATCCACCATTAATATTTCATTAGCAAGTGTCTCAAGATTTTGAGTCTCCATTAATATAGCTATTGATCATACGAAAGAATTAGAAGCTATATTCTCTCCCTGTTTCTCTCTCTCTCTCTCTCCCCCCCTCTCTCTCTCTCTCTCTCTCACGTATACCTCTGGATCTGTTTGAAGGGTGATTGCTTCCAGCAAACAACTGCATTGAATTCCCCAAATCCAGCTGATTTACTCATCCCAGTCCCTTTTTACCTGTGCGTCTGGACACAGAATTCCTTTCTTTTCTCCTCTGATGGGGAACTGGGCTGCAGTATGGGTCTCCCAGTTCTTCCTGCCTTCCTGGGTTTTTAGTTTGTGCCAACTCATTCGAATTAGTAAGCAACAGTTTGCCCACAGAGCCAAGTTCTTCTGCTGGGACAGAGGACTGTACCCACTACTGCTTTAAAAACTGAGTGCTATCAGTATTTGACTACAGGCTCCCAGAAGTAGAAGGCAAATCAGCAATTGAAACAAATGTTTCAGTGGTAGGGGCCATTAGAGGCTCAAATTTCCATTTGTTGGTAAAGGTAGAGGGAACTCTTCACTGACCAATTTCAACATCGGAAGCATAATGTCAAGACGTAAGCGTATATTTTAGAAAAAAAGAATTCTTGCTTTAAGAACTTCAGAAACGGAATCAGTCACCTCTGTAGGTAAGTTACTTGAGCAACTACTATCCTCTCTCACGAAAAAAACCAAACCCAAACCCCAACCCTGTGTTTAGGTTCATCTTGCTTTGGCTCCCAACCACTGGATTTCAATGTATCTCTTTTGTAGGATATTCTACTACCGCAAATGTTGTCCTGATCCAGGGATTTGATATACCATGATCAAAATACCTTCCAATCTAACTTTATATGAATGGATTGAATTCTTAATTTTGTTCTTCATACCTCTAGTTTTTGTTGTCAGCTTTTTAAGCTATTTCTAATTTTCTGAATGTTCTTTTTTGAAGAGTAGATGCCAGAACAGAACAGTAATTACCTTACTAACATCATATAAATAGGTAATAAGCTTTATATCCTGTTCTGGTATTCCTATTTGACTGTTTACCAGAACCTTTTTTGGGATTCACTGACTTCTAGCATCTGGTTTTTAATCTTGTGAATCAAAACTCTGCATTCCTTGGATCATCCCAGCCCTATGGTTTCTAACTTTGCAATATTGTTTGGTAAAAACCAATGTAGGCAAGCAGTCCAAGGCAACAACCTGTTCCCATTACTGTTCAGCATTTCATCAATGGGCTTTTTTTCCCCTTCAGGTTCTAAGAGATGACTGCTGA